AAGGGAGCTGGGTTGAATGCCATTGGGACCCCAACACTCCAGAGACTATTACAGTATATTGCTGCCATAGATGGTAGTTAAGATGGGTTAATATGAAGTGTTACCAAATATGCTGAAGATGAGGAATGATTTAGTAGACAGGTTATTAATCTGTGCTTTTGGAAATGCATGTTCAATTCTTTGTTTGGTGGCCTTGAGTAAGTCATGTAGTTTCAGATTCTTAAAGGTATTGAATTTTCACTGATTGTAGAAGAGGTTAGGTAACTTTAAAAATCCAGACCTTAATCTGTTATCTCAAGAGTAATGAAAATGACAATGTGGTTCCACCAGTGAAGCACTTAGTTCTTTTGTTCAATTTTATCAAGTTTCCAGTTCCCCTGATAATATGTTTTTGCCTCATTCTCTACAGGTAAAGCTAAGACCAAGCAAGGACATTTTAGCACTGCAAGCAAATATACATATAAGAGTCTGGAGGGGGTCTGATACTCAGTCATCAATGGCTAGAATCCCAGCCTCTGTAGCACTAGCCATGTGCCTGACTTGCTTTTTCTCAGGTGTCTGTGGTCAGACACCAAGAAACTTCAAGGACAGTACTGTACCATTTGAGGTTCTTGGCCAGGAGCAGGCCTACGGTCTTGTTCAGTCAAGATTATTACAGGATGCTACAGTCCCCTCCAACCAGTCAGATGACTTTCCTGGGAATGCCCAGCCACAGCCAGCACTGCCTCCTATGTGTGTAAAGCCTGCTGAAATCAGACACATCTTCAAGTACATCAATACCATTGTGTCCTGTACCATCTTTATGGTGGGCATCATTGGGAACTCTACGCTGCTGAGGATCATTTACAAGAACAAATGCATGAGAAATGGACCTAATGTCCTCATTGCTAGCTTGGCCTTGGGGGACCTTCTCTACATCCTTATAGCTCTTCCAATCAATGTATACAAGGTAAGCATGATGAGGCACTAACACCATGTGCAATGATATTGAAATTTGGGGAAAGTGGCAAGGGGGACTTTATCAAATGAAGGTGCTGAGATACTACAGCATAGTATAAATACCTAACTTGGTTTAGCAGGTGGCTATGATATAGATCTGATTATTGATTGCAAATCAAGAAAAACAGTGTTACCCAATGACAAAGTCACCGAGCTGGGCCCAGAAAACCAGAATTCTATTTCCAGCTCTGCCACTAACCTTATATGGACAGGTCATGTACAATATGCTTTCCTCATCTATTCTGGGAGAAAGCTCTTTTCCACAGACATTTTCATACTATGTGTTTGTATACAGCCTGATACAGTAAAGCCCTGGTAGGTAGGTAGTTACCAGGTAGCCAGCATGATCCTAGGTTTCATACATAAGAGGGAGAATCAGGAAACCTGAGATAAGTTCCCATGTTTCTGCCTGACATTATTTCTATACATATTACTTCTCCTCTCCATTGCTCAGTTTTCCCATCTGTAAAACAGAATGATGGCAATAATGCTTTCCTTTCCTTTTTTCACTTTGAGATCAGTGGCTTTAAAAAAAAGGCTAAACTGTTATTCATGACAAACAAGGTGTATTCTCAGATAAAGACTGTGCATGAGTTTGTGAGAGGCTGAGTGTTTGTGTGTGAACATTTAATTAACCTTCAGCCCTTCTAAATCGCTGCTTAAAGCCTCCGAGAAAAAAATATATTATGATCCCACAATGCACAGCTTAGCTTATTCCAGCTGAGCCAAATATTACTCTTGTTAATTCTAAAATGTCCATTAAGTTTACCCTTCACCCTAACTTGATACTTTTTTAGTGATTCTGAATTTGGTTGATAAAAATAGTAGTAGTCGTGTAATATAGGACTTCTCTGAAGCTTTTGACTTGATACTGCACCACATTTTCAATAAGAGGTTAAAACCAGGAGTGCTCAAGCCCTGGCATTCACGCCAGATCTGGCCCCTGGTGCCATGTCACCCAGCCTATGGGGCTCCCCATGGGTTCAAAAATTTGGCAGTGGAGGAGCAACGTCACTGCTTCCTGACTGCCAAATTTCTGGGGGCAGCACAGGGCCTTATCCTAGCACACGGGGCTGGGCAGTGGGCAGCCCAGACCTGATCATGGCATGTGGGCAGTGTGGGGTCTGATCCTGGTACAGGGGGCCAGGAGAGAGCAGTGCCAAGCCTCAGGCCCAGATCCCAGGACTTGGGGGCAGTGCAAGGCCCCAGGGCTAGATCCTGGTGGATGACCTTGACACTGGCTCTAGGTACTGACCCCAGCAGGCAGGGACGACATGGGGCACCAGGGCAGGATCCTAGAGTGCAGAAGCCCAGGGCTCAATCCCAGTGCAGGGGGTTGGTGCAGGGCACTATCTGGGTCCATGGGGGGCTTCATCCTTGTGTGCAAGGCTCAATCTGATCCATGGACCTGCCTCACGTCTTTCCTATGGCCCGTGGGGTCAAGAGTTTGAGCAGCACTGGGTTAACATTATAGGAAATCAACAGGGTGCATGTCCAATGGATTAAAAACTCACAGATAGAACTCAACAATGTAAGTGTTAATGGGGATTCATTGTCCAGCATATATACATAATAGGGTGTTTTTAGGGACCCCCTTCTTGGTCTTATGCTAATCAACAATCCAGACTAGTTAAAACTAGGGTGCAAATATATCATGAGGGAGAGTAATCATAGGCACAATTTTACCAGGGGTTGTGGTGGGTTCTCAGTCACTGGAGACTTTTCAGTCATGACTAGATATGTTTTTTTAAAGCTACACTTTAGTTCAAACTAATTAATGGTGGTAATAGGGCCTGTGTTACACAGGAGGCCAGACTGAATAGTTGTAATTATCACTTTCATCTTTGTAGTCTGAATCCTCACACAAGGTTTGAGTCATGTGAACTTCCTTCGTACTAGGAGCTGAATTGAATGGCTGCTGAACTGGCAGCAAGCCCCATGTTAGTTAAGAGCAGAGAACAACCAGGTGAGGGAGACTGGTGAAGGAGCCCTTCTGAAGAGACAGGCGTGGAGTTTCACCTGTGGCCCAGCCAAGAGACTGCCTGTACATGAACCCTGGAAGGAGCAATCTCACAAAGGCAGCAAAGCCCTGCACCAGTTGGGGCTAGGTCACATGGAGCGCTCAGAGTCCTGGTCCTCCGCACCCACTAAACAGGCTGTACTAGGGGGACTGCAATCAAGGTTGGACAGTCACTGGAGAGGAGCTGGATTACAATCAACTCTATGGCTGCCTGTGTCTTGTTTCCCTCACACCACAGGTCACCCAGCATTGAGGCATTGCCCTGAGGAGGAAAACTGGGCAGTTGTATCCAATGGCAGCTCAGCAAAGATTTGTGTCTTGGAGCGTTCGCAGTGTGCAGAGGACTGGGCAGCTTGATTTCTCAGTGCAGCTGGCCTGACCTCTTCTGGACCCAGTGCTTCAGCTGAGGTCTCACAGCACTGAGTAGAAAGGAAGTATCACTTTTTTAGCCCTGCTTGTGATGCATCAGCTAATGCATCACAAGCAGGGCTCTCTGCACTCCCCATCTATAAGGATAGCAACTCTCCCCCACCTTGTGCTGGCTTCAGCAACTCACATGCAGTAGCTGAGGAAGATCTGGTCCTTGATACAGTGCCACAGGGAGTTTCATCTCAGTTCAGCTTCCAGAATTGTTGCCTCTAGTCTAAACCATGAGAGTGCCAGTTTGAGTCTCAGCAGAAGCAACCTGTGGGATATGTGCCTTGTGGCTGCTTGTGGTGACACTATGGAAGTGTCTATACAGCTCTGTCCATTGCTAATAAAATATTTCCCACCCAGTTAGGCTCACCAGAGCTGGCAGTGAGGCAGAGTAGACTGAGAATAGACCTCAGTGGCCCCCTCCAGCACTGAGCTGTCTACTCTACTGCATTGCCAGTCTCTGGTGCATGCAGATAGATGGAGCTTATTTTATAGGCAATGGTCCTGGTTTAGGTGGGAGGTTGTGTAGACAAGCCCTATGAGATCAGAGGCAAACAGAGTCTGACCTGTAGTGTCCAGCCACAGTTTAGGGGACTCTGCCAACTTGCTAAAGCAATCCAGTGCTTTGAATTGCACATCAGTTTATCTGCTACAAATCACCAGGCCCCTAGCAGGGATATACAGAGACTGAAACAGTAGCTCTGTCCCTTAGAAAGCTCCATTTCCAGTGGGTTATTCCACAAGACTGTGCGCTCTGGAGATCTATGTTCACTTTTCAGCTGTTGCCAAATGTCCAGTTGAGTTTAGTGAATTCTACCCTAGATCCTATTTGGCACCTTAGTCTCAGGACTGTAGGACAGGGGCTGTCACAGCTGGTAGATGCACAGGCAGAATTGTCTTGAGAGTGAAACACCAGAGCTGCTGCACCTCAGGACAGAGATACTGGGTAGTGTTGTGTGGGAGCCCAGAAGTACAGTAGGATGGGATACCACTAGAGAGGATGGTGTTGCATGGGTAGAGCTTGGACTAGGGAAGCCTGATATAGTAGGGGTGTCCCAAGCCATAATGAAGATATCTGGGTAAAACCACATGGATACTGTGTCCCTCTGGGGTTTGCAGGCTGAATGCAAGTATTTATCATCAAGTCTCAGTGATCATTTATTTGTAGCAGTCATGAGTGTATAGCATTCTTGGAGCACCTGGCATTTCATTTCTGTAAAGCAGCCCAAATTCCCTGTCCCAAAGAGCCTGCAACATAGAATACACAGATACCACAATAAGTAAACATACTATGTGTGGTGTATGAGAGGGGTAAGATAGCTGAGGACGACTAGAGGTGACTCACAGGAAGGTGCATTTGTTTTCATAGTTTCATAGTTGGTAGGGTAGGGCTGGAAGGACCTAAGCAGATCATTGAGTCCAACCCCCTGCCATGGCAGGAAAAAGTACTGGGGTCAAATGACCCCAGCAAGGTGTTCATCTAGCCTCCTCTTAAAGACTCCCAGGGTAGGAGCCAGCACCACTTTGCTTGGAAGTTGGTTCCAGATCCTAGTCGCCCTGACAGTGAAGTAGCGCCTCCTGATATCTAGCCTAAATCTACCCTCTGCCAGCTTGTGACCGTTATTTCTAGTCACTCCTGGTAGTGCTCGGGGGAACAGGGACTTCTGCAGTCTGCTGGTCCCCTCTGACTAGTTTGTAACAGGCCACTAGATCCCACCTCAGCCTTCTCTTGTGGAGGCTGAACAGGTTCAGGTCCCATAGCCTCTCCTTGTAGGGCCTGCCCTGCTGCCCCCTGATCATGCGAGTGGCCCTCC